ATTATTATTATTATTATTATTATTATTATTATTATTATTATTATTATTATTATTATTATTATTATTATTATTATTATTATTATTATTATTATTATTATTATTATTATTATTATTATTATTATTATTATTATTATTATTATTATTATTATTATTATTATTATTATTATTATTATTGATAATGTATTCACTTTATTACGACGCTTTTCTGTCCATTACTGGGTAACTTTAAAAATGATTATCCTGAATTGAATTTTAAGATACATATCCAGGATTAGATGCAACATTGGTATGCAATACGTCACTGACAAAATGATCAAAAATTTAAGTGATCAATGATTTAAAGAACTGGTCAGGAATACTTTTTACCATGCCTGTTTCATCAAATCGTTTACGATCACAGCTGTCGATTACATATATCTAAAAGGCAAAAATATCATATAGGTTGTTAGTAATCCAAATAAAATTAGGCAATGAAGTTCTCAAAAATTTCGCGAACTTTTATTTCAGTTTTTTCCTCTTGAAATGAAATGAAAGTTTGCAAAAAAAAAAGAAAATTATGATATTACCAAAACATCGGTATTTTCGAAATAATTTTTCCAGTACGGACGAATCTTTCGCTGCCCTCCAATATCCCATACGTTCAATTTCACATCATCTGACACTACGCTTTTAATATTGAAGCCCTAAAATACTGAAATGCAGGATAACATATGAAATCACCAAACGCTATTATTACAAACGAAAGATGTGGACAGAGAACAAAAAAGATGACTCTTGTCTATCAAAAAATGTAGATGCACCTGCGTAGGAGTAATATGTTTGATATCCTCCGAAGCTAAGTGCTTCAATATTGTCGTTTTACCGGCATTATCCAAGCCTGAAAGCGGTTAGAAAACGTGACAAAATTTAAAGTCGATTCCTCATACAAAAAAAATAAATAGATCGATAGGAGCCTATGCGCAATATGGCTGACATAAATTTGCGCTGTTTCGATGATAGATGTGATTCAATAAACCGAAAAATCCAAGATTGCGCGGTCATACAATAAACCGACAATCTTGATCATTTCGTAAGATTTGAAGCAAGTCACCATATCGCAAAATTCATAAAGAAATTTAAAGCAAAATTTTCCACATGAGTAGCAGTGAAAGAAAACAAACCTTATTCCAGACTTTTCGCGAATTTATAAAAATTATTAATGAAAATAAGGGAAATTACCAAGCAACAATATCCTGAATTCTTTCCCTGGCTGATTTTTGAATTTTCTGATCAGTCCAAGTAAACCCTGTAAGCGGTAAGAAAATCACTGGAATGGTTTATCAGATAATTTATCCAGTACATTGGATATTATAAATGACTCATAATAATAATTACCATTACCATTCAACTGCACATCCAATTTAAAAAGTTTCTTGCAAAATTCTGGAAAGCAGACGATTCAGAGAGTTTCCAAAACAATGAAGCCCGGTTCAATTGAGTTTGTGGCCCAACAAAGTGCGTTCAAAATTTGAGACAGATTTAATGAAAATTGAGCGATGATAGCAATAAGCTTTGTTATGTTGGCAAGATGCAGATAGTAGGAGGAGTTGATAGAGTCAAGTGTGGTTAGTTACCATAGTGATGAAGAACTGAGCCTTACATGACAACTTTCTTGGAAAAGCCTATTAGCCAAGTTATAGAACAATTTACTTAGTAACACATTTCACAGATTTTTCACGGTTCTGGATTTTATCATCTGGAGATCAAGGGCGACCGTTGTTCACAACATCCGACAGACTTTGCTACTGTTTCTCAATCGTGATAAGTAAGCCACTTCAGCAAAAACATAGGATTGCTTTGGCATAGAAAGTGACACACATAGAGAGTGCAGTGAGAAATAAGGAACTGAACTGGATTCAATTGGATCAAATTAAATTAAATTTTTATAACTCTCAGCTACTTTATAGCTTTGCTTGAAGGGTACCAAAATAGAAGTGAAAGACTTCATAAATGCACGGCGTGGACTATAACTCAGCAGGTTGTTACTTCCATCTTTTAAAAACGCATTCTTTTATCATAATGCAAGGTCACGGGTTTGAATTTTATGAAGAAATGCTCAATACATGGATACCCCTTTGGAATGTACCTTGGAACTATAACAATGGTTGTCCCTGAAATCACGAAGAGATGCAGTGAATCATTAATTGCCTTGATACTGCTAGTGTAATGTATTGTATGTGTGGATATGTCGTGCAATGTAAGCTAAAATTGTACGTCTATTGTATCTATTTGCTCTAGTAAAGGCGGTAATTGTGATCAGAGACCTCAGAGCTGTGTCAGGATCTCTTGATTCGAGGAAGAGGAGGGTCTGAGCACGAAAATCATTTGGAAAGATGTATTTCGCCGAGGTCGGTTGGATATAGGATATTAGGGTCATTCGGTTTTCTTTGTTCTTACCGTTTTCGTCATTAAATTGTTTTATCAATGTCGTAATTGCAAATCCGGTGTTGTATTAATAAATATATCGTAATAAAGGTTTAATTACCGAAGTTTGAGGTACTTCCAACTAAAGAGCAGAAAGAACCCTCAGTCTTTGCCACGGTTAAAGAAAATCGGCGACGATAATAATTATGACATGCTCCGCACAAAAACTGTAATGTTAGAGTCGAAAATTTGAAGCAAATAATCTGCCTTACTTCGAAGGTGAAAGGCATACCTAACTAATGCCCATCCAGTGGCTCACTCAGTGGATCTTTCAGACAGGATTTAAAATTGTAGGCTCTAAATAAATTTTGTGGAATAGGCGACAATGTTACGGCAGAAAAGTGTTTATTTCTCTCATAATTGCTTACAGCAATTGTATGAAATGCGAAAGAAAAACGAACACATGTTTGCATCGACAGTAAATTAGTAATAGTGACAGCAATAATAACCCAGCGACAAGATCTGTCACCTTACAAATAATGAATACGAAATAGAGGTAGGAAATCTTTAGAGCATTACCTACTTATATTTGTCCGAAGAATTCTGAAAACACTAATTTCACGGCCAACTTTAATTTCCCTTTACTACTATCTGAAACTGAAGTCTGCAAAAATTCTCAGGAGTTTTGGAACTGGATTTAAACATAGCTCTTGAATCAAGTACACTGAATTCCATATTTTCCTAAAATAAAGCAATAAATAACACCAAAAACAATTATTATATAAGTGGAAATGATCCTTGACATAACTTCATCAGTTAGTGGCATTGATGGAAAATGACAAAACAGAGCTCCAACATCCTTAATAAAAAAAGGACAAAGATCAACTATACGCTTCATGCAATAAACCCAACAGAACAAGCCTTTGTAAGCCCACAGAAAAAAACTACCATCGTCGCACTTTTCCATTAAGATCACGAAAATTATGAACAGTAACATGCATCAGTGTATCACGATCACTATCAGTGACTGCTTTTTTTGAAATAAAGAAAAAACTCAACACAACTAAAATAGCACACAGCAAGAAGCATTAAATCAAAAACGGTGAAAGCCGTTATCCGGTACACTCCAGAACGGCTTACATTGTTTCACATTCCAGAACTAGCATGACAGAATGAACCACTAAAATCTATTGATCATATATATTCGAATCAAAGTCCGAATGCAGTGCAGCATGGAAGAACTTTTTTTAAGCAAGGAGAAGAGCTTCTACTACATTCTGAGGTTTCGAGATCCAAATTGCATCAACTTCAAAGTCCTTCGCCCAGCATTTAGAATTTCAGAAACCTATATGAACAAATTTTCAATAGATCGAGAGCACAAGTATTCAAACTGATAAGAATAACGGATAAATGCTGGTGGTTAAAAATGATGACGTGCCAAAGTAAGCATTTTCTGAGTCATATGCGAAAAAAATATTTTACAAAGTTTTTGCACATACCGGAAAACAAGGACTTTTTCTGGCCAAAAATATGAAATTTTTTTTTCTGGACTTTTCAACCTAAGCTATCCGATCTATCCGGAAATAGTAAATCCCGGTAAATACGGGAATAAAATGTGCCCAATATTTCGACTACAACTCAAAAGGAAGACATTTCAGAAAAAGACCATAATTTGCACATTTACAATATGCGAAAAAGGATTAAGAAAAGTTACATTGTAGCTGATTTGCGAAAGATATGAAATATTACAAAATTTACTAAATGAAGTTCTAGGATGATCATGAATAAAAATTACTCTCATACAGTAATTATGGAAATAATTTTTGAAATTTTATATTTGAATTTATAAATTCATTTCCAAACATTAAATCACATCAGTAAATTGAAATTGTATCTCAATCGTTATACATGTAAACAAAATTTCGGAGGTTAGTTGTCTTACAACTTAAAGTTCTGAGCTCTCAATTTTTTACATCCCGGAAACATTGGATATAAATGAAACAGAAATAAGGGCACAGCTCGGTAAACAGATACAGAAATTCCTAACACCAAAACTGACTGGCTGTGATGAATTACAGTTCATTTCAGAAGAAAACAATAATGGTTAATGGACCAAATTACACTTAAATCAAGAAAATGAAACCAAAAGAGGAGCAATTAATTAAGACAAGAATGATTTAATGTAACTGAGTACGCTTTGCTACTTTGTCATTGCCAGTCCCTTGCAAAAATTACGAATCTATAAAATCTTTAAAACGCTTTCAAGAATTCTTCTTATTATCCTTTCGATCGCCTGCATGCCTCCCGTGCAATGCTGTGCCGTTCTGAAAGTCTGATTAACTTTAACTAGAAGTTTAATTTATATTTTGTACATTTGCACATTGGAATAAGTTCTGGGGAAGATCCGTTACTTCTTAATAAGAAATCAGATAAGCATACATCTGGAATGGATGTAAAAAACAAACAAACAAACAAACAAATGACAGGTACAACCTGCGTTAATCGGTGTCCAATAGCGACGGCACGGTGCATACTTTCTTGAGTCAATGATGACAAAAAATTATGCCATGCCCATGTAACTGTATCGTCAACCATAACACCAACATCCCTCAAATTACCACTATATCTCGAGTAAGCCCATATACTAAGTGAAACAACTGCTGAAAATCAAATTTTAAAGCGTCGTAATTCATAAAATTAGAAATACAAATTGGTTCATACGAAATATAAATTGGTCCACAACAGAATGCAATATATGAATAATTTACCGTGACAATTAAAATTCAAAACCTACTAACCAACACAGAGTGCAGCAGAAAATAAGCCTGCAATTGTATCCAGACCAACTAGCTGGAAAAATTCCTGCATCACATAATCTACGATCATAAATGTTACCAACACAGCAGGAGTTCGCATCGATTTGAACAAATTCTTACTATTATTCACTTTAATAAAACTTTCGTACTGCTCCTGTAGAATGAATGTATTGATCGATAAACTGTTTTACATATGTGCTTTATGCATTGTTCAAAGGTCTTTTAAAAGTATAAAAGAAAACATACTTCGATATCAATATCTAATCTTTGCAAGAACTTTTCGGAAAATTCTGCACCACCCATTTTTCTAGTTGCTTTGAATAGTTTAATGGCCTCTTTGTAACACCGTTCGTGCTCTGCTGCCAAGTCTGCTGAACTCATGTAAGGTGCATCACCACCACACACCTGTAAAACAGATCCCAAATAAAGCAAGCATGGATTCAAAAATCCATGAACCTGTGCCCAGCCAAATGGAAAAGTTTAATCTCATGTGAAGGCACGATTTGACGAAAAAAAAGAAAACCACGAGCAAAAAATTATCGGCCATCAAAAATGAAAACGCTCACATCTTCCATTCTCTTCACGTAATGAGCTTTAGAAGTTGAAACTGCTGCCAAATTATTTGCTTCCGCAGTAGCCTTTAAATAAATAAAATTATTCGATTTTGATCTACTTTGCCTTTTCCTAGACTTTGCAAATATTCCCCCAAAATTCCCTACTTTTGAAATTTTAGATTTCTCAACACAATGCCTTTCAACTAACAGTTTGAAATATAGAATAACAAACCATTAACATTGATTTTGGCTCTGGCAAGTCTTCTCCTTGAAATATTGTCATATAAGCCTATAAATAAGACACCAATTTTTTCCTCGTCTCTCTTCATTTTTTTATTTCAGAAACTTTAACTAAACGTAGAGAAAGAAAACATTCACCCTGAAATACTCCACAAGTTCGCGACAAGTTATCTCTCGGCCATTAATTCGCTTTAATACCAAATTATTGCAGTCTAGCAAACGCGGAACAAAAGAACGTAACTGTTGTTGAAATTCATTCTCAATATCTATAATATGATGTCTTGATTCCACAAAACCTGACCTTAGTTACTTAAAGCAGTAACGAAAGTTTTAAAAGTTCAGACCTTTTCAAAAAAAAAGCAAGGAAAAGTCAAGTAGTGACTTTCGTCATCACTGAATTTGCGAGAGAAACCAGTTAAAACACTGAAAGTGCAAAAAGGTTTGTAGAAAAGCCAAAAAGCTGAGAGACGAATACAAAACAATTTGTAATAAGTCCAATTATTGGAAGCAGGGGAAAAAGAGAGAGAGGTAAAAAAATTTGATTCTTACCACTTATTTGTCCACGGAAAACTGGACTTGTGGAGACTCGAAGCCCAGGATGGGGCATTAGGAAACATGATATCTGCTCAAAACATGAACGTATATGCCGTCGTAACTGTTGCAACTCCAGGTGTTGTTTCTCAGAAACCTATAAAGTGGGTTTCTACTTTTAAATTAGCTTCAACAGATTTTCTACAAAATAATTGTAAATCAAAGAATATATTATCTACCTGCAGACGACGTTCAAGTAATCGTTCACCCCCTTGAAAGCCATATTCTGCTTCGTATGGGAAGCTCCAGTCACGTACCATGAATAACAACGACTAAATTTACGAGATAAATTAAGTAAAATAATATTGGACTTAGGACATTCAATAATAACAAAAATTCAAAAATATTATTCTGCTACCTGAAATGGCTTGGCTGATGCGTTTTCCAATGCCAGCCTGCCGTATTCGGTGAACAGCTGTAAATGCTGCAAATCGTCCTCCTGCACGTTTTGACTCAAATTGTAAATCTGCAACAAAAAATTTTTAGCATTGCAAAAAGTTTTTTCGAAACTACCATTGAATGGCCATGGGAAATCTCTTAGAAGCATATATCATAGATGACAACAATGTAAAAACTAAAGCAGCATAAACCTGCAAAGAAGAAATCATAGTTGAAAGGGCAAAAATGGTAGCACAATCTTTTACGGTACTCTGGCTATCAAAAGCTCCCTGAGTATCCATCAATATAACAGCTGTATCTTCACCATCACGATTGCGCATAATAAATGGTCGAGACCATACTAAGATACCACTAGTTTCACGTTCGCTACCTGAAAACACAAAACTGAGTTTCTGTTTACTTGTTTATTAAGTCACAAACCATCCCCAAGGTAATCCATTTACCTCCTCGCCAACTAAATCCATCCAAACTATCACCACCATAAATCCACTCTCCAGAGCGTCGCTTTTCTTCGGAAGCACCCAAATAACGTAGAAAGAAATTCAAAAGGAAACTTTTTCCTTTTCGAAACGCGCCTGCCACGCTGATTACAGACACCTGAATTGTAACTTATATGGATATAAATCGAATTTAGAACTGTTCTATATAGTTCAGCACAGCTAAAGTTTTATTCGACTTCTGGAGCACTTTGTCTTCTGTATAATACTAAATCTTAAAGGTTTAAATTCATTAAATAAATTTATTTAATACCAACAACGAAATAAACCTCGGAAAAACGACAAGACTATTGTTTAATGACTTAATTAATATCATATAATTAATAATTGTATGAAGCCTAGTTTACTTGCTACATACTTTCTTGTCGATAACATCTGAACTTAAAAGCACTTTTTCAAGCGCTGCCTCATCCAAACGAAACTGGTGTTGCTCGTCAAGAGTTTCAATGACTTGTACTGGAGCTGGATGATCTGGTAATGGAAACGATTTCGACGTCTGAAATTTGAAGCCAAAAGAAAAAAATATTGAAGGATTGACAATTTGCAAGAAAACCATAAAACACCCACACTAATGACACACTTCACATACGAAAAGAAGGAAGCAAAAACACGGCTTTGCCATTAAAATAAAAAGAATGTTTTTAATCTCGAACTTTCTAGACTCCCAAATGCAATCAAAAATGATATACCTCTTCCATTACTTCACCGCTCGATCGTTCAAATTCGAGACCGGTTACTACATTGTTGCTGTCACCTTTCCTTTCCCAATTTGGTGCAGCAGTAGTGAATTCTGTTATTAATCCTTCCATTTTCACTGCTGATGCCTTTTCCTCTTTCCTTCTGAAAACACCTGAAATCTGCAAAATTTTCCGTTTTATATTTGGCCAACAACAGAATAATAATACACAATTGTCGAAACTCAGCAAACTGAATCGTACTAACGTACAAACTAATATCAGGTTAATTTTGCAGAATAAAAAAGGATGTTAAGGCAATGAAAGTATGAAAGTACAAGAAAGTAAAAAAAGCTAAGAAAATGTTTTATATCATCAGTAATTGTGCAAGTATATGCAGAACAGTTTAGATTACTATTAAATTATCTAAGAAATTAATTGTTCTGTCCCGTTTAACAAGTCATTAATAACAGGTCCAAAAAAAAGTCAGCGAGGAAATACCTGATAAGCAAATAAAAACTTTATTTCAATTATGCTTAAAAACCAATGAGCCAAACAAATTTCAAACCAAACCAGCAAGAATTCTGCAAAATTAAACGTTATCAAAAACGATATCAATGATCTATTCAAGGGTGAATGGCGGTAGTTCGCTCTAATACGAGCAAATGAATGATGTCGACAAAAGTCATTCTTCCCGATTGTTTTTCAATTCAACATTTCATCGTCCCCCTCCTTCTCTCTCTCCCTCTCTTCCTCTCTCTCTCTCCTCATCAATTTCTTTTCCCCACTCCACTGCACTCCGTCACGTGCAAAACGAACAAAACAATGAGATAATAAATAACATCTGCTGTTCGGGATATCTTTTCTATTTGAGAAAAAGGAGTGGATAACACTGCCTGCACATTTTGCAAACTCATTCTACACGATGATCAATGGAAATGACGAGTTATGATTCTACCAGCTCTAGAGCAGGGAAATGACGGGAACGGGGAATCACACCCGGGATGCTGATTTAATCTACTAATTACAACCAAAATTTCCACTGATTCCACAACTAGACTTAAACTGACCTGAGTCCTTGCCCTCTTGGAAAATGCGTTAGTAGATCGAAGCCACTAGATGGTTTGATATATGCCAAACAGCAATGCCGGTCTTTACATGCATGAATATAAGGAAAATTATCAGCGAAGTGACCAAACATACGACAGTATCGTTCAACGCGACATAGCAGCTAGCGTAGTGCTCGAACATCTGTTAGGGAAATGGCAAAGTGTCTCAAAAGGATGTCTCTTTGTTCAGGCTTATTTGCAGTCGCTCAATTTAATCATTACTTGATTTGTTCAGTGGTGCGTACAGCTAACAAAATAATGGTAGGAGGCGAAGCATAGGAGAAGGTCATAAGTCGGTGTAAGTCCACGCAAAGAAGATCGGGAATAGCAATCATGCCGTGCATACCTGCCATAGCTACCATCTTTACTGCACGTCCCCAGCGACATGTCATCTGCTACGGTGATTATGTCACACCTTCGGACAAAGTCGGATCAGGAACTCCGTCAAAACGAATAGCTCATGCAAGCATCATAAGCGAAGGCGGCCGAGCCAGCAGTGGTAAAGTGCGGTGCAAGTTGTCATAAATAAGCTAGTTTGGATTTTGGGCAGATTAATAAACATAAGCATTTATGCTTCCCTCAATGCTTTCTCCTCAGTACAGCGGAGATGTCCGCATGGGGAAGAGAAAGGAGCTACTTTCCGCCACTATGGAAGTAGGGACGGAGACGGGGATGAGACCATATAAAGTGAGAAGATAACGTGGGATGTTTTCAATTTAAACCGGAAACAAACGAACTTCTTGTGAGGTGTAATTATGGTTATCGTCGATGACGACTTCTTTCACGTGGGAAGAAAGCTGGAAATACGGCGGTGCAAATGAAACATTGAGCTTATGTAGTGAGAATACCCTGAGGCAAAGTGGAATGGTAGTTCAATATGGTCACTTTATATGAAATGTTATTGTATCTGTTGCTTAGATTGGAATTGCTGATTGATAAGGTCTTCGTCATAACAGCACAAACGTCGACATTCATTTTTTTTTGTTCTGAAACGATGAAAAATGGTTCCTATCTATTGTGCTCTTCGTATCTGTTATGTCAATGAATACATTTCGGGAGAACAAATGGAGAAACTGGAGGTTTTCAAATTCTCCATAAGCCGATCGATGATCAATAATTAGACAGTGCTTACGTAGTCGTAACGCTCGCAAATAATATGTAGGGTTTCTAGAGCGTTGTTATGCAGCAGCCTTTTCCGTTTGTTTTTGAATAACAATTCGTATTTTCAAGAAGGGAAAAGTTAAAATGAAACTTTCTATTAATTACACTTTCCTTCCGCAGTTTCCGTCTGTTTCGATCAGAAATCAGTTTTCTCTTCAGGGATATGTCAAGAAAAGCACGATAAGTATTATCCACCCACAGTCAGTTGACGCTACTGTTAGGTATTTCTGCTATTTGCTTGCTCTTTATATATTTATCTCAGGGTAATCTGTAATTTATGTTTCCATCATTATAGTGCAACCATCATAAGTTCGAGACTTTTGTACAGATCTCATACTACTGCACTTGATACTGCATCAGAATATATGTGGAAACCTGCTTGTTGCTAGAAAATTATTTTTGCCTGTATTTAATGAGAGGATGAAGTTTAGGATGACTAATTGTTTGCTATGCTTTTACGTTGGATGACTAAAATTGTAGCATCTTGACATAAGCAGTAGAACTGTTACCCAGTAATTCCAAGGTTATCCCAGTAATTTAACTTACAGAGTTCCTGTGATGATAGTTCTTTGGCGAATCAAAATGTTTCTTACTGTCTTGGATGTTCAGTACAAAATTTTGAAATATGAAGCACGTCTGAAGGTCTATCGGATATTCTAGGGGGTTCTAGGATACCGTTTACTTTTATTATAAGTTCCAACTACAACTTTTTTGAACAATTGCCGGTTCTTGAGTAATTTCACATCATTTCTGACGGAAAATTTCCTTTGTCATGCAAACTCATTTTCGTAATCCATGCCTCAAGTTTATGCAAAAATAGATTAACCAGTATTATATCAAAATAGTAGAACTGGACACAAGTTTTCTTATCAGTATCATGTTATTCACACTTTCAGTTCACATACCAGTCGATGAAAGTCCACTTTATAATTATGAGCACTCTTGACAGTAATTCTGGTCAAGTGTCACAGACTTCCATGCCATTCGATAGGAAGTTTCTCGCCCTTTTACTTTGTTATTCCAATAATAGACTTTTCCGGTTATTTAGTGTGGCACGCCGCTCTGCATCGGAATGGGTCAAAACATAATCCTCAGAAATGTGTAAGTGGACTGCTAAATAGATGGATAAACAGCTATTTGGAAGCATTTATAGGTTATGGATTTGTTAACGCAAACTTTATTATTTACAAGTTCTGTCCAAAGGTAACGGCAATGTTACATAACTTACAGAAAAAGGAAGAATGTGGAAAAAAGGGCACGCTCAGGATATATTTGCACGACTCTTCGCCGTTGAGAATGGGCGGCGAACAAGCACAGCAAGTCATCGAATTTTTCAAGCTAAACAAGGATGACGTTTTGTTTAGCTGAAGTCAAGTAGTCTTAACTATTTACAACGGCTATTAGCTGTTGTACGTGACTTGTAGTATCGACTTGCCTGGAAATCCTAAGTATTTTTCTTTCACCTTTATATTCATCTCAACTTTTGTATTGCCTTCTGTCCTCTTCACGTGCTCTGCATGAGAATGCTTGAAAGGGAAGAAATCACCGATGAAAGTTGCCATTATTTGTTGTTTGCCCACCGTGATATTGCAAAGTCTACTCACTTCTCCTTATTCCGCTTTCTTTCCGTATTCATCACCATCTTTAATTGTTCAATGTTAAGAGAGCGGTGGTAATCGAACTTCGTCACCTATAATTCGATCATCGCATTGCGGTTCAATGTTTAGGACCATCTAATCCTATTTCAGGACCCACCCAGTTTTTAGATACTTTGTTAATGGATGATGATAAGTTGAACTAAAGTTCAACGGTAAATACAGGCGATTTTGTCAAGGAACAACTCGTGACGTGAGGCAATTTCAGATGACCATATGATTCCGTCTCCTTCTTTTGTGTCTTTCCAAGATGGTTTTGCGGTTCAGCGTTCGGGACCATCTAATTAGCTATTTCTAGTCGAAGGTTAGACAGATATTCTCTAGGAGAAGTTAATTGATTCCTGCAGAGCAAAGCCACCGCCTAGCAAACTGCCAGCTATCTCGCGAAAGGACCGATCCACCGACTACCACTCACCATGTGTAGCCACTAACTATTTTGCACTAAACAGCAATCGACAGAGTGCTGAATGGCCAGAAATCAATAAACTGTGCCATTCTTTTACTGCTAATCTTGTTTTAGTGCTGTTAGGAGCGTTTGCTGACGGAGGAGTGGGAGCGGGGGTGTCATGGATCTCATCCAGAAACATTGTCAACCACCAGACGTCATTTTCTTTTGTCATTGACCCCGATGGTTCATAAGGCTCTGGAGTTTACCCTAGCATATTTGTTGACTTCCACCAGGTTTGGAAGGAACCCTTTTCAGTTTGATTTCGTTTTTGCTGATACAAATCAGGTAGTATTAGGCCGTTGTTATCTGATTTAGTTATTATCTGTGTGTTTCCGCTCCTTCCTGCTCTTTTCATTTCGTTCATTTGTTATTACTGTTTTAGGTGAACACAGCAATATGAGTATCCGGTCGATGGATAGTCGTTTGGAAGTTTTGCGAAATGGACAAGATATTGCCAAGAAAAGTCTGTTGTACAACGCTGGCTGTACACAACAACAACAGCAGCAGTTACCCAGTGTTGATGTTGATAATGAATCTAACAAATGTCAGTAAGCGTAATACAGTTGGAACCGAGGGTTTTTCTTTATTTGATATCTAAATCCCAGACACTTAAGTGTTTCGTATATAATTAGCTAAAGTCGTCAATATCAGTATCCCTTTTGTTCTTTTCCTCCGGTTTATGCACATGTAAATTTGTTCATATTTTTAAGCGGATTCATGGGTGGAATTGGCTAGTCCATCATCACGTGCATCAATGGTCAGTATAAATGGCGGTGACAATGGTAGTGTGATATTGGTGGATAATGACGGAGTGGTTATGAGCGCTGATAATACGACTGTGGTTGTTGGTGGAGGTAATAGTAGTCCTTTCAGTCGACTCAGGTAATTATTATTCCTTCATATCTACATATTTCATTTAAACTTATTAAAATAACGTCTTACCGATTTTATACGTAGGCTTAACAACTGATGAACTAAATTTCATCTTTGATGGGAGAGATGCTCCACATGTAAACAGAGAAATTTTATATACTTCGAGGCGAGTATTTCTTTCATTGTACAAATTTTTGCAGTCCGATCAGTGCCTGCAGTGCTCCAATTGAATTGGTTATCGATGCTGGACAAGTTCATGGCGGTGATACAATGGCTGTTCATTATTATACTCGTCATGGACCAGGACGTTGCACTGTTGCAACTACTGGAATCACTGCACTGGGTCAAGGAACGAAGAGAACAGCGGAATGGTTAGAAGATTACAATAGTCGACCGGAAGTGCAGAGAAGGTTAGTTCAGCTGAATGTCGAATTGTTAGCAAATGAAATGAAATTAGAGTTAAAACCGAGAAATGCTGTGCAGAAGAGAAAATTTGATATCTTCCATTCATCCGATTGCATTATTTGGTGCTATCTTCTCAAAGCAATGATTCCTCAAGCGTTCAGTCAAATTGCATTTAAATATAAGGAATATGACTTTTTGATGCGAAATACTTTAGTTCTTAGTAATGGATGAATTTTTGACTGAAGCAACTTTAATTTCGTTGCTCTTCTTTCCACATTGACTCTCTTCATTTATAACGGTGTTTAGTTTTCATTTCCGGATTGATTTTAATCCATGTGTAATTTGCTACTTAGTAAATACAAAGTTTCTAGTGGTCCTCAAGCTCCATCACCTGTGGAAACTGAAATCTCGACGCCGCCAAATAGTCTTGTCCCTGGATTAGACGTTGGCGAGCTCACTCAGAGCAGCTGTTGTGAAGATGAGGTTGAGGAATTAAGCGTCGAGGATGATGGTGCATACATGTGCAGATGCCGAAAGGTCGTATATATTGGACAAGGTATATAATTATCTTCCTATATTCTTTTGCATAATTTAGGTGAATCTGTCATTCACTGCATTGTTACAGTTGCGCTACTTGATAATTGTAATAGTCTGGAAAATGCCAAATGATTTTTCATAAATCTTAAAGCATGCTGTAAAACATGCTGCAAAGGTTTTTAGAACATCATTGGCACGTTTATTAACCGAGGGTGTATTCCTTGATCTCTAGATATGTTTATGTTTTCATTCCGGCCTCTCACTCCTCTGTTGAACTGTATTTACAAACTTTTTAAGAAAAATAGCGTAGGATTTTTACGAATTACTTCATATGCAAATTTAAACCTTTTTATTCTTGGTTTTCTCCTCCACTCCAAAACCCAGTAATAGGTTTGACATAAAGTAACATTTTGTAGAATCTTATGGAAAAGGACGCTGGGCCTTTACTGAATTGCTGGGTATAAGTAATGGTAATGGACGTCGTGCATTGATGCTTTATCTGGTAACAAATTTAGTTACCCTTGCGATTGGGTTTGCCGTTGGGTAAGTATATATTGCTTGCTTTTTACTAACATTTTTGCATGCTTAGATCCACTGCTTTATCCATTTATGGACGTCGATTTATTCATCAGTTAACGTATATTTAGGTACCTATTAACTTATCCTCATATCTGTTAATATCTGTTTACTTGTTTACGGGCTCATTTATTTCACTTTTTTTTTCTTTTTTTTTTTTTTTAAAGCTAGCGAAAATGATAGTTTGGTTCATCCGTTTTACTTAAGTTCACAGTACTGCCAATCCATTTCTTCAAATATTTTGGAAATTTTTTCAGATTGACAGTTGGTCGAAAGTTATCGGTGCTGCCACATTTAAGACATCGCCACATATTTGATTTTAACTAAAAATTCGTATACATGTTGTATTCACATTTCTTCTACTCATTATGATGCACTTTTTTTATAATTTACACTGTTTCGGAAGTTCCGACTCCATTTTTCAGTTGTCCTGAAGTTTTCACAACGTGTAGAGGGTGATTGCTTTTAAAACTGCCTTGCGAACAATTTACTTCGAAAAAAAATTTTAGGTAATGAAATAATCAAGGTTTATAGGATTGCTTTAGTTGAAAATACAAAGTCACTTTGTTATATGGAACGAAAATTTCAGAGATTTGTTATATAGCTGGGATCTACTTTGCTTTTAACTTTTAACACGTGAGTCTTTTCTCTTCATTGCGAGAAATGCGGCATTTCCCGATTTGTTTTCTGGATTTGATTCTTTTCTACTTCATCTTTTATCGATATAATGATGCATTGAACATAACTTGGGGAGCAGTATCAGCGGTAAGCTTGAAATGCTTAGTGTGTTTATTCATTATTCATCCTGAGAGTGGCTTGCTGACCTGTTCATCAAGTTAAACGCTGGAATCGAACATGATGCAAATCAAAGTATATATTCAGTATTGGGTGGATTAGTATATTATTATGATGTACAGAACGTAGCATACTCAGATCATAGAGTATGTTGATTCTGCTACACTGATGTAAATATCCTCGTACAAATCCAAGTAGCAAGTCATTTGATTTAGAAGTATGTTTGATTTTCGACGCTAGAGTGATTAAAACTAGAAATATACTTGAATCTATTATAAAGGTGTCAAAGATACAAAAATTCTAATCCATTATTCCTAATTTTATTTCGGTTGCACTTTGTGTCTTCCACTTTCGTTTTTGTCGAGATTTCCATTTATAGCGAGCTAGTTGTACTGGGATCTTTTTGTTATTTCTTAGAATTGTCACCCTGTCCGTTTCCATTCTAATTCTTCTGTATAGCAGTGGTATCATTCTTTGAAATTTAGCTAGAGATGCACCATCCGCGATGGCGATATAGCATTTTCGGTGTTTCCCAGCGTGAGATAAGGTAGACATCAATTGAAAAACTCAACCTGCAAGGTAGTCAGGTTCCATTATTGAGTGAAACATTGATGGTGAAATAGGTAGCTCCCCCACTGCTTCAAATTTAACTACCTGATGTTGCCGTTGCCTTCCTATTACAGTGACGATTTCCGTCCCTTTTACTTACGTCCTTTTGGCATTAATGTGCTATACTTTCGTTCTTTCACTTTTACGTTGTGTTTTTAAAGTTTTTTTGCGAAACGATTTGCTATTAGTCGCAGGTGTGTGATCAATATGTCTTGTATATTCTAACAATAAATTTCTATTCTCTGCTGACATGTAAATTAAGGTGGAGAGTTTACGCAATTTCCATTCAAATATGAAGACCTTCGGGTATTCGGAGATTGTCTGGAACATAACGTATTAGAAGAACGATAGATTTCTCCCTCGATTTTGTGGTTGTGTTACCTGATGTCCAGCAAATCTGCGACTTAGGCTTTATGATGGTACCACTGGTGGCCCGTGATATTGTGTAGACAATACGCAGTTAGAGAATACGTTCTTATACTTGGGTGCATGTTTGCCAAGGGGTTAAGACAGGTTTTGGATATTCCCTCCAGTAGTCGTGCGAGGTTATTTGCCATCAGTATTAAACTGAAAAATTTAAACCTTCGGAAGTTGCTTCATTCTTTAACTGCGCTCACTTTTATTCATATCAAATGGTGATGCAAATGCTAGCTTCAGTTTCAACTGGTGAAACTTCGGGAGCGGTTGAAGTAGTGGATGAATCCGAAGATGTTGTTCTAAACTATCCGGAAAAAATGAATGAACTGGGTGATGGCTTTGTAACCAGGCATAAACAATTTGAACAAAGATTGGAAGTGCAAGGGAATAGTGGAGAAAAGGTTAAAGAGATGTGGTCCTTCGCATTTTTAAATAATTTCATGCAGATTACTGAGTTTGTTGATTATAGGTTTTGATTTTTTTTTCTTTTTTTCTAATGCGAAGGATTACAGCCTTCGTTAGTGACTACTACGGCGGAAACTGTGGCAGAAAATGACCTGGAGAAATTTGCTTTATTGTACGACAAATATAACACACAGTGCAATGAATTAGAAAGGTCGCCAATTTGTCATTGAGTAAATCAGATCAAGACCTTATTGTTACCAAAAACTGCACTGGTTTCCCGTGGGCCAAAGATTTCAGAAAGTATTCGGAAAGTTTCTCCGATTCTTGATTCATTTAACTCATAATTTTCTTTTTTTTTTTGTTTGTAGGTCCACTTGATTTGAAGACGCCTATGATTTGTTCTGATTACCTTCTCGGCCTTGAATCGATAGTTAAGCTTCATGCAGTTGACCTGAAAGATTTGACTTTAATTTTGAATCCCCAGTTTTCAGATTAGAAAAAGTAAACAGTGAACTGGAGGAGCAGTTGCAGAAAGTGGAATTAGAATATGAAAGTATTCAGGAAGTGCTTAGCACCTGCCGAAGGTTTTCTTTTTCATCTAACTTGAAGCACTCGCTGTCCTATCTTCTCTAATAGTTCGGATCTATCAGAAGAAATCCTGTACATTTCAAGTGTGCGACATGATTCCATGTATATCTTACATTCCTTCTAGTGAATTCTCTACTCATCGTGAAGGTTTGGAACGTCAGATAATGGAATTGGAATTACAACTGAAAATGACTACTCAGCGTGCTGAGGCACGTGAGCAACATTATCAAGAGCGCATAAAACAAAATGATGCAAAATGGAATCAGAAATTTGTGCAGGTATGTTAATTGCAGCAGCTCTTTATTCCTTTGAAAGGAGTTTGGACGGATTGAAATTTTGGCATGGTTACAACTTTTTTAGAAGTTTTTCTAATTACCCACAGTTTGTTTTTCAATGCAGCTGTTGAAAAGGACGGAAGCAGTCGAAAAAGAAAAGAATGATGCTGTATGCCGGTATGCAGCAAGAGAAACACAGCTAATGCGCTTACAAGCACAGATAGAAGGACTAGAAATGCAGGTATATTTTAGTGTTTTTTTTTAAGAATGCCTATACTGTTTTAAACTGGAATGCCCGTACTATTTTAAAAGTCTTTTGAAATGTGCACTTTATTTTTATTTTCAAACCCATTATTAAAATTATATTAACCGGTCATTTGGTTAGATGCTGTAGTAGCTTTTTAAAGTGCTTCAGGATTATTTTTGAAAAATTTTTTTTTGTTGCAGAAGAATGTGCTATCAACGGAGAAAAATACATTGCAGAATAGCACTCAATTTGAATATTTGCAGAGTATGGTGGGTTCTGAATCTGATCGAAAGGAAAAAGTCTTTTTTTTCAAAGGGTTTTTTAAACATATATTTAGATTCACTGATCGAAAATAAGATATGATGGAAAAGCATTTATTGGTTTGACTGGTTTCTACAAAACTTTGTAAAATTTTTCAGAGCTTTTGTAGATTTAATAGAATTTCGAGATTTCTCGAATTTCTCGAAATTTGTTCCTTGCTATTCTGTTTTTAGAAGCATTCGCTAGCAGAAGTGGAACGACAGTTAGCATTCGAAAAGGAGGCTAATAAAGAACGTGAGGAACAACACAAAATGACTGTCAAACATTTAGAAGTTAGTTCTTTCATTGAAAGTTCTAAATTTGTTCATGTTTAGGGCATCAATTTCTCTGATTGCTTTTTTTCATGATTCAACTTTTAAAATTCCTTCCAAAAGATGCTTCACATGAAAATGGTGAATATTCAATTCCCGTTGAGTCACATTTTGATTTTTTACTAACACTTCATATCCAGTCGAATATAACCATATCTGTAGGGACATTGAACACAGACCTTATTCAATAGGAAAATGGTCTTGCCTTTTTTATCTTTTTTAGGCTAGTCAAACGGTACTTACAGAATTGCGCTCTCGTTTGGAATCCATGCAGTCTCAGTTAGCGCTGGAACAAGTGGAGAAAGAAGGATGTCAGGCGAAACTGAGGTCGACACAAGCAATGTTGAAGGTTTGTTTCTACTTTGATCTTGTTATAGCCTACATTTACAGTAAATATTTTCAAATCTGAGAAATATTTAGCAGATCAACTTTTTGGACGACTGACGGGTCTTACGTTGTATTGGTCTCCACATATGTTGTCTTTTCTACTTTCCCCGTCATATGTGAATTATCGAATTTAATAAACTGTGATGGCTTAGAATGGGGTTATTTTAAAGACTGGCATTTGTTATTTGAAAGATGTATATATCAAATGCAGACGTTAGAACAGCAGTGCGCTGAGGAAGTAGATGCAGCGATAAAGAAAACGAACAATCAGGAAGAACTATACAACAATGTATGTGACGAGTTGGCTTTGCTTAGGTGAGGCTGGAACCAATTTGTCGTTAGCAAGTGCACATAGTCGAATACCTAATTGAACATTGTAAATGTATTTAGAAACGATTTTTGACTGCAGATCACGTAATTCCACTATCTCCCAGCAGCTCGATCACGTTGTACAGGCAAACGCTCAGTTGCAGGCAGAATCTCAACATCTAAATCAGAAATTGGGACAGGCTCATCAAACTTATCAAGTTGCTATGAAAAAATTAGAGTCTCTGGAGGAAATGCAGATACAATTAAATAAGTTCGTTTTATGTGAACTTCACAATGTTAAGCAATCGTGGACTTCTGTGGCTTGAAGTTTGGGTTAGCTCAGTTTCATTTTGGCTTTGTTTTACAGTGTGAACTTATGCAAATTTCATCTTTCTTTGCAGTGATTTACGCCGTGTTAAGCTAGCCGAAATTGCTGCAATGGACGCAGTTGCAGAACGTGATCAAGCGGAAGCGGAAGCGGTGGAATGTCGCAAGCAGGCAGAAAGGATGCTCGAAATCACTGAGCAATTAGCAGATAGGAACTCTTCACTAACTTCAGAGCAGGAAATTCTCAAATTCAAGGTTTGATTTCATTTTTTGCAAAAATCAGCAGTCAGTGTGCATTTCTTAATCTCAGATTGCACGACGCACATTCATCTTTATATGTAGTAAATTTATGATTGATATCATGACATATTGTTAATATATTATAAATATGTAGATTTGAAATTTGGATTTGTGATGCCTTCAAATCCAGGTATTTAAATTCGTTCCATTTATTTTTTTCTCAATTCTAGAATTCGGAACTGAATCAGCGGGTGAAGGCATTGGAATCTTCTGTTTCAGCATACGAAAAACATATTGTAGAGCTGGAACGTGAACTAGAATTGTTGAAAGTCGATAGTTCTGCAGAAATTGGAACGCTACGACAACAGATTGACACAAATGTTGCTAAAGGTTCTTTTGTTAATTTCAAAGTTTGTTGTTACCAGTTATCATTTTCAAAATCCTAGTGGGATCATCCAGACCGGAGGAGTGGGAACTGAACTTGAAAAGAAATGTGTAGAAGAATCAGATCTTGAGGTTGGAAATTTGCAGCTTTGTTATTTGTAAATCTTTGAATTATAGAGCAGAAGTTGAATGAAATAATTAGTGAACTTCGTAATGAACAAGAAATATTGAGGAAGAAGAATTCGAGTTCTCTGAAGGTTATTTTTTCTGGAAAGTCTGTCAAGTGAATAATTTTTGGTAGAAATGTGTTAAAGTAAATTTGTGCTTAAGCCTTGCGAATGATTTCACGTTTGTTATAGGAATTACGCGCTGAAGTGCAGCATTTACGTAAGCTACAATCTGGAAGTTCAAATTTATCCCCACCAAGTGCATCAGTAGAAGATAATTTGTCACTTACTGTGCTGCCTAGCAATAGAAGTATCATTTATTTATCTTTTGAATATTTAAGTTTTGTTTTATTAATGCTCAATTTTTAATCGGTTTATGCCATAATATAATCAGAAAAAGATTGATTTTCATTCAATTGTATCATAATTTACAGATACAGTGGGTCCATCCACTTCGTCACGAGCATCATCGATTGCATCGTCCACTGATATATGTTCGCTGGCGACTGGTTATACCACTGTCTTAGTCAGTCGAGCTGCTGCTCATCAAAGAGAATCTCAGCAGTTCCTAGCATCACCATCATCAGACGGAACAAGTAAGTGCAATTATGCTGTGACATTCTTTTCATAGGTTTATCCTTTTTTGTACTTCCTTTACACATTTGAAAACCGCATTAAAATTAAAATTGGTTTGAAATTCGAAGGACTGAATTTTGTTTCAGACCATGTGCAACAGCAAATGATTGAGAAGATTGTGAAGCTACAACGGCAGTTGGTTAGACGACAAGATAAGATAGAGTTTTTGGAAGAACACGTTCGACAATGTACACAGGAACTATTGAAAAAAACGAAGTAAAAAATTTATACCTTTTTATTTGATAAGGGAGGAGGTACTTCTTTGCTCCAGTAATTTTTCTGGCTTGGTAAGTTATATCCATCATAATTTTGGTGCTTTATTTCATAACGTAATTAATTTATATGAAGTTTTTTGAATAATAGTACAAATTTTGAATAATAATAATACAAAACTTGAATAATAATGTCAGTACGGTCGGCGTCGACATCGTATTTTGGTTATTACTGTTTTAAGACGATGATTATAAACTTAACAAGATTTGACGTATTTTAGGATTATTCAAAATTATGCATTGCGGGAAGAGGCATCTCTGTTGTTACCAGAGAGTGACTTGAATAAGGTAGGACTTCTTTGTTTGGTTATTGTGTTCATTCTTTAATCCAGTGATCGTTATTGAACGATATGAAGTGAATTTTTGTTGTGCATTAATTTTGAAATTTGTTTACAGTTGCTGGAAATTTGCGAAGTTACCGAAGTAAGTTAGTAATGTTGTTTTTATTTTGCAGTTCTCTCAGCCACGAATTCAGGGAAGGGTGATGATTATTTAGAAAGGATGAAGATTATTTGAAATATATCTGTAATTGAATGTGGGGTTAAATTTGAAATTAAGGCCACTTTTGTGAAGGTATGGATTTTTTCTTCAAATTCGGAAAATATAAAGATTTGCACGATGTTGGATTGGAGAGACCTGCTGTACTGCATAATGCTGTAAATATTTGATAAAAATAACGAAGAAAGTTTTTTCGGTTGATAAGAACGCGGACAGAAAATCATATAAATACTCCTTTGTATTTTGTTGTGACCGTGTATTCCGTCCGTTCATTATTTTGTATTATATATGCTGATAAATAATATGGAAAACAATGACGATCAAGCCTTCAATGTCAGCAAGTTTTATAATGGCATTGTCGATTTGTTCACTTCTATAAAAACTTTCTCTATTTGCATGAAGTTTCCAGAATATGCATAGTTGTTTTCAATTTCGTTTTACTTCTCCAAATAACTGGGGACTTTTACAGATACCACGTGGACCCAGTGGTAGTAGTAGTACTTCGTCCTCTTTAATCGGAAACATGTTTATAAGCAGTGCAAATGGTGCCGGTGGAAAGTCTGAATTGAAATTTGCAGCGGAAGTAAACTCACGTCTCCAGGCTGTGCTCGAAGATGCATTGCATAAAAATATCACACTTAAGGTAAGAAATCATACAAATACATGACTGTAAATGACAGGGGTTTACCGATAATAAAAAAAATTGGGTGAGTAATTCCGAGAAAGTCATCCACTTTTCTGCAGAATAACATCGATACCTTGGGTGAGGAAATCTCTCGATTATCACGCGAAAATCGGCAGCTGGCGCTTTCCAAGATTATGTAACAGTTTTTCGAAAGTTGCATTAAAAGGAAGCATTTCTGGAAACTTTCATTTTAAAAGGAATAGAAATTTAACGCATTTATGAAATGGCAGGCAAGTCATTCAATTTTATGTCGTCCGGTAGTTTGATTTCTTCGAATGTCGATATTATTTTTGGGGTTAAGGAAGTAAAAGTTTCCTACTAGTTTGTATTCTCTACTAGCATTCTTGAATCCATCCATTTAAAAAGAATTATATTTCTGGTAATGCTTGAATTTTTCCACAGAATGGTTAAAAACTGCATGTAAAGTTGGTTCACAAAGTAGAAATCTGGAGAAAAAAGTGGGAACTCCGTGGTGCCGGCATTTCTGCTCTATGTACATCTTATATTGCTTGCTTATTTTTCTCATTTTTGTTAAAATTCAGTTGTATGGTTATTTTCTGTGATGTTGTGATTAATTTTTCATTTTTCCTTTGCAAAATTGCAGTTCACTTGTATGAGCATGTTTTTGTAATATAATGAATTGCTTATATTTTCATTTGCACATAAATATTTTTGCATCAATAGAAAACATTACATAGTGAAACCAGCGACTGAATCATTCTGAAATATAGTGGATAGAAAGGTGTGTATGTTCCTGCAGAATCAATTTGGGGCTATCCAGATGCTGTATACATTTGGAAGCTTCCATAAGTTCTAAATACTTTGGGCAATCAAACTGTAATCGTAGGCTTATGCTGACAATGCTGACTTTTGGTTTTCAAAGGATTTCAATTAATTTAGGGGGATGGCCTATTTGATGACAATTCGGGACCACGAGAAGTGTATGTCCTTGTTCACTTTTGGGAAATCAGGATTGTTGGAATATTACACCGAAATCGATGTTTGTGACGTCGAATGTTCATCAAACAACACTTTTCCTGTGGTTAAAATTGAGTTACAATTATTTGCCCACGAAAAAAAAAACTATTACTGTGCGGATAAAAAAAAAACTGCAGCAACCTTCGTATATCTTTTGGAATTAGCACT